TATATACACTCCTTTCCACCACTTCTTTCTCTTTTACTCCGACGAAGGACTAGCGTCCGAAACGTCAGTAAGTTTTTTCATCTTTTCACAGTGTATAATTTACCTTTTCATCATTACAGGTTTCTGCATTATGGCTTTCATTGGCTGATATAAGTAACAGCTAATTTTATGGCTCGGCTGCCACAGGCAACCCAGTAATTAATTAAGTAACTACCACATTGCTCTTGAACAATGAGTTGACCAGCTGTTTTAATCTTGCAGTTAAGCCACCAGGTAACATCCCTACCTCCATTAATGAGCTACCTAGTACTGGTCCTAATGTCCCTGTAACTCCAGGTAAGTGTTTTTATCATGTATTTGCATATTTCTATGCACAGGCTCTGCTGGCTACCAAACAGCCATCTTCGCATTGAAATGCGCTGGGTCAGCATACAAAAGCCTGTGCAAAGAAGTATGTGTATACATTAAATGAATGTGTTCATACTTTTGCACCTTGGGCTGTAGGTTTTTAAAGATAAGATGGAGATATTCCATGAATTGCTTTAAAAGCTTAGAAAGTAAAAGCGAGCAAATATGTGAGCAAATTTATTGTCAGTTATTATGTTCATAAAAGTTAAAGGTATAAATATAAAAAGTAGTAATTAAATAGTTTTTCCCCATTCCAGTATCCTAAAAATCCTATTAAACTCGATTTGTTTTTATTTTATCTTAAAGTTGGAAATAATATGAAAAGGAAACACCAGATCTAATTATAATATCACTGAGATTAATTTCTGTTCCCATTTTTTACTATAGATACATCTGATAAGGAAAGCCAGTGGAAAATATACCTAATAATTGCTGTAATTATGTTCTTGGTTGTGGTGGTTGTCTTGGTTGCTGTCATTATTAAGGTAAGAAACTATTAGATGAAAACTTGTAGCTTTACAATTTAATTAATGTAGCATAATTGACTTGATTCATCTCTTTTTTTACATTTTTGATAAAAACTCTGAATATTATGATATATCATATAGATATCTAGAATATATACTTGAAAAATTAATAACCTACTGTAGTAAGTTAGTACTACAGCATTAGGTGTCATTATGCATGTATACTACAAAGGAGGTTTGCAGTCTTTATGTAATAAAGACTATAAATTCTAAATCCACTTAAAAAATAAATCAACTTATAAACGACTTTAACTGTAAGCGTTGTAAGGGAACTTGAGGGAGTGATTTGAACATGTATTTATACAGTAGCATAATAATTACATATTAATAGAAAAATCAATTGCAGTTACCAATAAGAGACTATTGCATATTGCATGGTAAATGTAATTTCAGAAGCGTCAAGGAAAACCCCTGGAAACTGTTGACCAGCCTTTGACTGCAGACCATGCATTGGATGTGGAGACTCTTGATTCACCATCAGACCTTAATTGTGACACCAACAATGATGGTGATCAAGAAGTGAAAATGAAGTAAGTAATCCAGAACTTAAATTTAGGATAAGTAGTTCCAATATTTTACATCTGCCACCCGAAACCAGCTCAATAATTGGAATTCTATTTTGACCAGATCTCAATCCTTTTTTTCTAAATATCCTTTTGTTTAAAAGATGTTTCTGAAAATCCTAGTCTAATTGCTTAAGGAGTTTAGTATAAGAGAAATCTCTTCAAAGTTTTATTGTGTATTCCAGAAATTATATTATAATACATAATATATAATATTATTAAATATGGTTCAAAAGGTGGGGATTTACAATTTCTTGTTCTTGTTCTTTTTGTTTGTTATATATATATATGACCTAGCTATTACATGAGCCTCATGATTCAGGTGGCAGCCATGTTTGATTGAACAATACATTCCACCACGTGTAGGCTCAAATTCAAGTGCTTGAGAATTAATTTATGCTGTGGACACAAAGGTTTTTATTCTCGTGAGAATAAACATGGCTGCTGTGTGCTATAGGCCCATGTGGCCAGGGTTGGATCCAGGATATTTATCAAATGCATTAATAATTCATGAGGAAAACACAACAGAAATCACAACCATGAAGAGTGTTGCAAATCTGATACAGAATCGTGTTTATTTGCATAAACTTTAACTTGGATTTTCTTGGGCAGATTCACTTTTATCTTGAAAATTTTAGTGAAACACAAAGGAACTAACCTAGACGTTTGATAAGTAATCTACAGTATTCGTGTCCGTGTTGAATCCGGCTACACCTCGAGTTTGTATATTGGATACAACACGGCCACTCATACTGCATATATTACTTAAAAAGGGGGGTGACTTTTGTCTTTTATTTTTTATTAGTCAAAGGGTGTGCACCAAAGAGCTTGCACCTTTCACTGGATTGAATGAGGAGATGGCTATGAGGCAGCTAAGTAGTGGAACTCTTGATTCTCCTTTGGACCTTGATCGTGACACCACCTGAGTTTATGAGAAATCGTTTTATTCCACTCAATTGGATATGGTCTAAAAGGTGGGGATTTACCATTTGTTTCTTCTTTTTTTAATGACCTAGCTATACATGTGACCAGGGTTGGATCCAGGATCTTTAAAAGGGTGTGAATTAATTGTTGTGCCATACTAAAAACTAAATTTGATTTCTCCATGGCCAAGTATAAATTGAGTGAAAGTTTGGATACAGTTTCAGATCATGGTCACCCAACTAATTTTTTTGTGACAAAGACTTAAAAGGGCACTTGGATAAAAAAAGCCCCAATTTTTGAAAGTCCAAATAATTGAAGTATTTGAGGATAATATGACTCAATTATGATTATGAAAACCAGATTAGTGAACATTTTAGCCTGAGAGCCAGTACTTGCAGTTGAGAAATCTTGGTTCAAAAGCAGAAAGAACAATAGGGTTGAGTAAATGACGTCATTGACTCACAATTTAGATGCCAAATAAAATTGATATTCTTTATACGACACATTTTACTGTGAAGAAAATATGTTGTTTGGCTACTATTAGGGCCATATTATATATAGATAAGTATAAACTAAGTTTAAAGTCATTTCCAATTTTTATCCATTTTCATCCAAATGCCCCTTTAAATAAATGGCAAGGAATTTGCCTAGGTGGTACCTCTTTTTGGTCCCATTGCTGATTCCTTGATTACCGACTCATTTACACAGGGTTAGCCTTGTATCAGTGTCTAAATATTCACGAATACCAAAAGTTATAATAATAATAATAATAGAGACTCAAACCCAGGTTGCATACAACTTCAACCATACAAGCACTTTGAAATTCCACGGACCTTCACTGGAACATGTAAAATAATATTCTGCACAAAATCAAGGCTAACCCTGTGTAAATTCAAGGAACAAGCAGTATTCTGGAGCTCAAACCTGGTCTATTCATGCACCATGGGCTTTTAATGGTATATTTTTCTATGGATAGCAAACAGAGGGAAAGAAATGATGACCCTTAATAGTCTTACCAATAATTAAATATGGACTAATGTTGACTAGATGTAAAGAGATAGTTGAGCAAATAGGCTAGAGGAGGCAGTTTAAGAAAACATTTGTCTTCATGCTCTGATGTTTTCTGCTTTCAATTTCAGTGAACTAAAGACTTAACCACCACTGGCTAAGATAGGATAATCACCAAGTTTAATAGCTAATTGCTGCATACATAGGCTCCTGCAAATAATTAAGGATCTGGTTATTTTTGTTGTTATTTGTTGGTTTGGAAAGGAAATTCTATATCCTTATTCTTATAACATAACAACAGAACTCTGTGTTTTTGGTTCTTCATTGTTCCATTTGCATCTATTTTATGCGCTGAATTAAATCATGGTTTAGTTCTTTTCTGGATCTGAGCCTCTCATCAATCTGTGTGGGACAGACTGTTCTTCGTAGTGCCAATAGTGAATACCTACAAACATTATCAATATGCATGTTAACATGTATGGCTTTTGATAAGAATCCTTTAAATTATGTTGAACTCTGAAACAAACTCTGGGATGATCAAAGTCCAGATATGGCTAACTTGTATATCAACTACCAAAATATTCCTCACACTATTCCTTTAGTCAAGAAGTCAGCACCAATTTTTTTTCAAATTGCATTAGCAAGCTATGCATAAGTTTTATTATAATCATATCTAACCTTGGTAACAGAGCTGTAACAGATATCAACGC